ACGTTGTCCGTGATTTGACAACGCTTATTCTCCAATTCCAAGCTTTATTCCTTCGCGCTGTGAGCGCGAAGAACCGCGTATTAGAGTTCTGTTTCCTTTTCCTTGAAATTTCAACACGTGTGCTATTCTCGGCGTACTTCGGGGGAGAAAAAAAATTGTTGAGCAGGTGCAGAAAGTATGTGCGGAAGGCACTTCGCGACAATTATTTGCGCTCGTCGCCGTCTGCGCCGGATCGCGGCGGCCTCCGCGCTATGGACGAGTGAGTACCTCGTTCACGCCGTCCCGCTCTTCCTCGACCACTTCGCTTCGCTGTGCCCCGACAGCTATATAGCGCCGCTGAACTCCGTCGTGCGCGCATCGACTTGCAAATGCAGAGTCGCGCCCACAAAAGGTGTGCTCCAGTGGGCTCCCCCCTTGACCCCGCGAAGGTGGTTCGCTTCCTTCAGATACCCAACGGGGAATCGGTCTTTCGCTCTCGTGCAGTGTGCTTTCCAGACCGCTCCCCCTATTCACACGTTATCCTCGTATACATGTACTTAGTTCTTTGCTATTTGCGCTCGTACTTAGCGGTTTCGGGACCGCCGAGGGCCGGCGGCGGCAATTCATTCCCCGCTATGGGCACCGCGGCCGCGCCTCCTCCGGTGAGTTGTTGGGACGAGCTATATTGCGGACGTCCGAATAGTTTGGTCGTGGTTTTCTTTCCTTTGTGTGTGTGTGTGTGTGTGTGTGTGTGTGTGTGTGTGTAAGTGTGTGTGTGTGTGTGTGTGTGTGTGAGAGAGAAAGAGAGAGAGAGAGAGATAATTTTTGACGTACCCTTGCGTTGAGTCTGCCTTGCTTTATATCGCTAATACACATACAAAAAGATAGTCCTATTGTTTTCTTTTTTTTTTTGAAGTCCTAACATGCCACCACGAAGATGGCTCTCTTTAAGGAGACTAGTGGACTCTCACGGAAAAGCCATTGTACTCTTGTCGGTGAGTCTTTGGACCCAATGGAGAGTTAGTTTATCTGTGTAAAGATAGTCATGTACAGCCGCGGCCACATCTGCGTGGAGCGCTAGAGCAGCGGTTCTTGCTCTCGAAACCTTGAGGCAGTTTCGGGCTCTGAAGTGGTGTATCAGGAGCATGCACAGCCTAGTCGTCAGGCTGACCACGTCAGAGCTAGATAGTGGTAACCCAAGGTTTCGCCCAGCAGAGCAAAAACCGGCTGTTAGCGTGCTCTACTACACAGACGTGGCCGCGTCTTACGCGTAGTTGAGAACTCACTCGAAAAAGTTCTCTCCTTCTTTCTTTCTTTCTTTCTTTCTTTCTTTCTTTCTTTCTTTCTTTCTTTCTTTCTTTCTTTCTTCTTTCTTTCTTTTCTTTCTTTCTTTCTTTCTTTCTCTTCTTTCTTTTCTTTTCTTTCTTTCTTTTCTTTAGAGTGTACAGTACCTGGCCTTTGCCTTTCCGCTTTACCGTCCGTATGCCCGGGCCTTTTTATTCGTCATCTTTGCGCAGACTGTCAGTCACATTTCCTTAGTTGCCGTACTCATACCTCGTGGTGAAAACGAATTCGAATCTGGAGTTCCGCGTGTCAAAACCACGTCGTGGTTATTAGACGGGGCATACCTATATGGGCCGGTACTCCGCATTTCATTTCTGAAACAAAGTTTTGCATTCATTCATTAATTGATTCCGCATGAGCCTGGCCACCTGGGGTTCATTAACGGGCTCATATTGTGTGTAGCATTTCGCCCCGTCTTGAACTGCGAGCGCCGCGGGCGGGGATACGAACCTGCGTGCCATTGAGCTTAGTGACATGCTTTACCTGCTAAGCTACCGCTGCCTTCGCGTGCTTTCTTTTGAGCAAAAAGACAATAGTGTATTTTTTTCTGCGACATATTCGTGCTTCTTTATGTCGATGCCAAGTTCAAGGGACCGTGGACCTCGCGAAGCCGTTTTCTGGCTTTCAGCTTAAGACCGTCTGCATCTGTATTTGTCGAAATCTGATACCGAAAATAAATTGTGCTAAATCGAAATTCATACTGAAGCAACTTCTTTGTCTCAACAATCTGTAACTCCTTGGCTATAGTTGTTCATTTCCTCGGATAAATGCATCGGCGGTATCAGAACCTACGGGTTTTCATGTTGCATCAGGCTATGCGTTGCCCTTTGTGTACTAAAGGAAATATATTTAATGTTTTTCTTTTTTCTTTCTCCTTCGTATTCTGCACGCATTAGAACGATGTTATAATACTTTGTCATGTCACTTCTCGTTTTCTTGGTCTTTTTTGTTTTTCTCTTTGCGTCACCAAAAATCTGATGGGGTCTTATTACTGCATGATCGCATAGATGATTGCTAGCTAGGCTGACTTGCAATCATAGCTAGTCTTGCACCGCCGTACAAGCACGTCTTTATTGCCCCGCCGCGGTGGTCTAGTGGCTAAGGTACTCGGCTACTGACCCGCACGTCGCGGGTTCAAATCCCGGCTGCGTCGGCTGCATTTCCGATGGAGGCGGAAATGTTGTAGGCCCGTGTACTCAGATTTGGGTGCACGTTAAATAACCCCAGGTGGTCGAAATTTCCGGAGCCCTCCACTACGGCGTCTCTCATAATCATATGGTGCTTTTGGGACGTTAAACCCCACATATCAATCAAGCACGTCTTTATTTTGTATACATAAGCAAAAAATGGCAGCATATCCACGGAGTGAATGATGGAGAGTGGGGCGAAGCATCCGTCCGTCCATTCGTTCTTGCTTCCGTCCGTCCATACGTCCGTCTGTGTGACCGTCCATGTGTCCATCCGCCCGTCCGTGCGTGCGTCTGTTCGTGCGTCCGCACGTCCATCTGTGCGTTCGTTCATGCATCCGCTCCTGCGTCCGTCCATGCGTCCATCCGTCCGTGCAGCCACCCGTGCGTCCGTCCATGCATCTGTCTGTTAGTTCGTTCGTCCATCTATTCAACACTCCAAGCACCACCATCTCGCATCTTTTCACCATATATTCCTCATATAGAAGCACCACCATCCAGCGGACATTCCAAGGACTGAACGAGAGGAGGCACACGCACACTTCCTGACGGCTTGCGCTTCGTGTCTACTTCCCACCTTTAACCGCCTCTAGTTCGCTGTATTCATGGCACTGCGGCACAACGTTCGCTAAACCTTTCTAAAACTAAGGAGGTTACGCCCAGCGAGTATAACGTAGCAACCCATTCTTGTCAGATAGTGCTCAGTGTGCATGCATATGACTTCTAAGAGGGAATGAGAGATAAGAGAATTCGGCTTTTAGTTAACGCGCACGCTGCGATTTTTTTATTGTTCAACAACGCTCAGAAGAAATCTCCCACCGGCACCACATTGGAGGTCAAAGTGTAAGACTGGTTACAAACTAGTACTACGACTACGAGGGACGAACGGGTGCCGCTATAAGGAGCTTCGCTCCTAGAAAGTCTGCATCTATGTGGTCTCATATATATTAAGTCTTGCGGTCTGCTGTCTCTCGGCTCTGCCCTTCAAGCCCAATGAGGCTTTGGCAGGCCAATTTTTCATTTCTGTGCTGCTTTCTTAAAATGCGAAGGAAAGATTATTATTATTATTATTATTATTATTATTATTATTATTATATTATTATTATTATTATTATTATTATTATTATTATTATTATCAAAATGGTTCTGATTTTTGACTCTGTGTACGCTATCTAACCATATATCTGCCTAATTGCTATCATTACGAACACCATACTTGCATGGGCGATGTTGTCAAATGTTTAACTGTTAACCTGTGGTGTGTACGAAGGTGATTGTTTGGTATGGGCTCGTTTTTTTCTTTTTATGTACTTTCTTTTTGCAATAACGCGTTTCCTACTGCAGCGCCTACGTTCTTTCTATACTTTTGTCGCTTGATTTGTCTGTTTTTCGTGTTTATACCTTGCGTCGTCTTGCCACGTATTTCAACACCTGAAGTTCAGTAACAGGCTCTGGAGCGCCTTTTGTGTAAGACATCGGATTGCCCCTGTTTATCGGAATAAGTTCCGTATCAATATTTATTATAGTAAAAAGTTAATGATAGCTTCTTTGTCATCTATCAATCTTCGTCTCGGTGCCTCATTTGTTCGCTCAACCTGCACGTGAATTAGCGTTCTGAGCCCTGCAAAAATGTGCACGTTTTCACATTGAAAGCCAGCATCTTTCTTTCGTTGTTTCGCGTCTTTCCGTGCAGTCTAATTTTACCCGCTGCCTCAGCCTAGTGTTTACGGTGCTCGGCTGCTGAACCGAAGGTCGCGGCATAAAATTCGGCTCCGGCGGTCGCGTTTTTCGATAGAGACGAAAATGCTAAAGGCCCGTATACTTAGATTTAGGGTCACGTCGAGGAATAGCGTGTGATCGCAATTTTCGTAGCCCTCCTCTACGACGTGTGCGATAATCACGTCGCGGTTTCGCGACGTAAGACTTCAGCAGCTGTTGTTATTTACATCGTGGTTCTCAAACGGGGTTCCCGTGAACCCGGGGGTTCCGTGAACGGTATTACAGGGTTCCGCGAGTGGTCAGGACGAATGCGACTCGCTCGCATGTTACCACCACTCGCACCCAGTTTACTGATTGATGCACGAAAATTTGCATTGCATTTTACATTTGACAAAGCCATCGCACGCCCTCCCCCCCCCCCTCTCTCTCGCATCTGACCGAGCTCCTCTTGGTGAAGAAGTGGAGGGTTCTGTGGCAATCCAGAAATGGCGTTGGGGTTCCCCTATGTCAGAGATAATTCGAGAAGCCTTGATTTACTAACGTGGTTGCTTGGGCGAGTTGGTACGACATGATTCACATGAAAACAGCGCCAAAAATGAGGGACAAGAGAAAGAAGGAGACAGACAGCGGCACTCACCCGTCTGTCTCCGCTGTCTGTCTCCTTATTTCTCTTGTCCCTCGTTTTTGACGCTGTTTTTTATGTGACCCATGATTTACGTCGTTGGCGAGTGTCGCTTCACCCTGCCTTCGAACACGTTCGTCTTTTTGCAGGCCCTGTGCGCGAACGAGACTCTGGTGTTCCTGCGGCCCCGCTGGGTGACCCGCTGTCACGAGGCAGGTCGAAGTGTGCCCTACCAGCCTTTCGTGGTCGCCTGCCCGGAGTAGCGGACGCGTGACCTGTTTGTTGCCCTCAGGAAAACCGCGCGCTTAGCTTATTTACTGCACGGAATTGATGGTCGGTCGCTCGCATTTTGACCGAGTATCGCCCGGTCGTTAGCAGCACTTAGTATAGAGCTGCCGGGTGTCGGTGACGTCACGCAAGCTGCCCAAAGGTTCTGGAAACAGGCGTGCTCGCATTTTCGTGGTGATATGCAGCTTCCCCTAAAACCACGATTGGATGATTTAATGTTTTTATCATTAGTAATGCGCTGCCGGTGTTGGTAGTGCGTCATTAGCATTACTTTTTTTTAATTTGTCGTATCGCATTTGCTTTTCTAGAGCGAATGGTGACGTGATTGTAATCCGCAGTCGCGCGTTGAACTTTTCTCTGTTTTCTCTTTTTCGCGGGAACGAGCGATATTTTATGTGATGTATTTTCCGCATTTCAAAGCATGCTGAATATATATGCTAAAAAGAATGTTGCCTCGCATCTTTCCAGCAGCCACTCTCAGCGCGCTGCAGCGTATTTCCAAAGCGTGACAACGCTTCTGCGTTGCGAATACAAACGTGTGTGTTTATCGCAAAATAATAAAATAAAAATGTGGAGCTACTACGAACGTCATAAATTTTTTTTTTCATTTTACGCTATCATGTCGTGATTCCAATCGTCAGTCCTACCCTCCAGTCCATTTTTGTTTTTGCTTTAGATCACTTGCTTTAGTGACACGTGACGTACATTAGGATCAGGGCTGACACTTTGACAATTAAATTTCATTTCTCTCTTAGAGTTTTCGCATACGATTACGATTTGGTATGTCGCCCATGATGAATATAAATGAACATGCTGTGTAAGGGACGAACTGCACATCATGGCAAAATAAATCGAGGAAGTTTCGCTTGCTGTTATTCTTGCTGCAGTTCTCACGTGAATGTTCTTTGTGGTTCTCTTATTCAAAGGTATAGTGCAGCGTTTAGTGACCGTGCACTTTTCTGCGCTCAATCCAGGCGTTCTTAACATTTCTTTTCCACACGAGTGCATTGAATGTGGATATCCTTTGTGACGTGACCTTCCAGTACGTGCTGTTCTGAGAAAAAAAAAGAAACCCTATAAATGAAATTACTCAGCGGCCTTGCTACTTTTGTTCTTCGCAAGTATGGCCTGTTTGTATTTTTTTTGCCCCATGCTTATTCGAATCTTTTTGTTTACTGGCCTGTTTTCGTTTTTCTTCGGCTCACGAGGCAGGTAAAGCCCTCTTGCACTTTGTGAGTACTACGGGCGTATGTGAACGCCTTTGACTTTTGCATAGTACCACCGCTGCGTACGCGTCAGTCCATGTACTGGCAATTTTCTCCCCTTTCCCATTTCTTTCCCTCTCATATATTCACCCTTTCCCATTCCCCCAGTGTAGGGTAGCGAACTGAGCACGTGGCTGGTTAACCTCCCTCCCTTCCTCCCTCCCTCCCTTCCTTCCTTCCTTCCTTCCTTCCTTCCTTCCTCTCTTCCTTCCTTCCTTCCTTCCTTCCTTCCTTCATTCCCTTCCTTCCTTCCTTCCTTCTTGTCTTCTTTCTTTCTTCTTTCTTTTTCTTTCTTCACTTCTTTCTTTCTTTCTTTCTTTCTTCCTTTATTCTTTCCTTCCTTCCTCCTTCCTTCCTTCCTTCTCCTCCTTCCCTTCCTTCCTTCCTTCTTCCTTCCTTCCTTCCTTCCTTCCTTCCTTCATTCCTTCCTTCCTTCCTTCCTTCCTTCTTCTTTCTTTCTTTCTTTCTTTCTTTCCGGCATGCAGTTACTGCGTAAAAAAATAGGCTTTTTTTTTTCGTTTGAACGTTTCGCGTTTTCACATAATAAGCGCAGTCGGTTACAGTGACGACGTCGTCAGACCTCGTAGGAAGTTTCGTATTTGCCTGAATGTGTCGCATCAGCGTTGTTCGCGTGCATAATTAACTGTGTTAACAGTAAATATTGCACTATATCTGGCCTGTCAGCGTGTGTGAGAGCATGCAGTTGGGAAGCGTTGGCTGTAGGGACTAGAAACCGATCGAAAAAGTTGTGAATTTTGTTCCTACGTGTCAAACAGGGATGGTTTGAAAGTGTATCCGGCGTATTCGTCTTATACTCGCGGCGATTTTGACGCGGTGTGCGTTAAGGAGACCTTCAGAAGGGGTACCATACTCAGTGCAAATCATTTTCCGTCTCAGTGTCGCTTTGCCTGACGTAAATACAGCTTGTCCAATGACTGGCGAGGCTGCTTGCAGGCCTTTCCTTAACCAGCCAATAAGCGCGGTTTGAAAGCGATGCTACGAAGATATATCCGACTCAAAATACAGTCGTGGTCATCGTGTGGTCGTCGGCTATCACGCGGTCTCCTGTTTCACACGTTTCAGCGTGAGCGTTTAAGAGCTCATTCGCCGGTGGTTTGCACATCCAGCCCAACTGTTTCAATCGACAAATATGGCTTCATCACTTCGGGAAATAGAATTACATATTACCTAGCAGACGACAAACAAACGGATTGACTGAGCGCTCTTCCGACTCTAAGAGAGGTCGCCCGGTGTTATACACATTCGTGATTTTACAGTGAACCCCCAAACCTAATCGGCCTGGTGACCGCTGTGATAACTTGTTACCTACACAGATTTCGTTAGCGTTAGCACCAATATTGATCTCCGAATTTCCCCCACCAGCTCAAACTGTAGCCACAAAGTATTCTAGTGTTTAATTATCACCGCAAACTGTTTTTCCTGCATCTCTAGCTTATCTTGCTGGATGCTTGAGTACATCTTTACATGTTTATATTTATTAGAAAAAGAGCATAAGTACCTATAGATATTGCAATATGAGAAGTATGACCTGCTGCTGAATTGATGCCACTTGAAAAGTCCGAGACACCAAAGCGCGCCCTCAGCGGTTGCCTTACAAATAAAAAGGTTCTGTAGCGTTGAACTATTTCTTTCAAGCTCACGTGCGCCAACACCATGTAAAATCACCTATATGGATTGCGTGAATGGCTTGCAAGACTCCTTAAAATTGGACCACATAGCTAAGCGAGCCAAGAATTCAGCTTGGTGGTCCATATATGAGGGTGGCCCACGCTAGGACTGAAGTTACGCCCACCACACCGGAGGTGTTTTTATCCGCACCCAAGAACGTGCTTAGGTGCTGTGAAGGGTGTTAAGCTCCCACAGTCCTAGCATATGCACCGGCGGTATGCACCTGTTCCTAGTATGATGCGTAGCCCTCATGAATATAGAGTTAGTGCAGTCGCGTCCATAATTCGGTGAATAGCGCTAAGTTTATACTGTATGATATTGAGATCAATACCACACTTCGCCGGACGGCGATATTCTTTAGAATCGCTGAGTACCCACTCCAGTGAAAGAAATTTTTAATTCGGCACATAATGGAAGAACGTAGATGAAAATCGGTTTATTCGACGCATAGAGTTTCCTAAAATTAACTATAGAGGGGACTGGGGCGCTACGATCGTTCAGCGACCATGGGAATGATGGGTAGTACACACATTTGTCTAGTCTTCGTACTTGCGGGCGGCGAATCGTAGTTGTGGCTTCGTTTATTTCTGTTTCGGTTTTGTTTTGAAAGAAAGATTCAACCCTTTCGAACTTTGTGACCTGATTTGGAAAGGTAAGTCTAAAAGAATAAGAGGGTGAAGCGCAACCGCTGAACATTCGCTAATATTTGTTTCGTAAGAAAACAGCTCCAAGCCACGCGAACACACACGGAGCTAAAAGCAGGCCAGAAGTACGAATATTAGACAAATCCGTGTACTACCCATTATTGCCATGCTCGCTGAAGCGCCGTGCGTTGCAGCTCCCACAGACACTAGCGCCAGAGTACCCTCTAGTGTATATTAGGAAACCATGATTCAACGTATCTGCACATAAAAGGGAAATGAAGTGAAATCAATGGTAGCTTTTTGTGCGAAAACTTTCGAGAAAATTGTGAAATGGTTATGAGGGAGATGTTCTGTGCCTGAGGCAAGCATAAGAAAATCATGTCTCTCGCGGACAAACGTACATTATGTAACACAGCTGCATTTAATTATTAAGACAGTACCGCTGACAAAATTATCAAGAAGTATACTGAACGGAGAAATTCAAGCAGTGAAATTGGATTGTTCGAAAATACAGCAACGAAAGGAAATGTCGTCCTCCGCGTTCACCATATTTATCTAGCAAGACAGTCTTCAAGACCACGGGTGCGCGATAACTCCAAGCAGGTGTATACAGTGTACAGGAATCACTGTCAGATTTGAACGACTGCGGCATAGTTTGGGGAAATACAATGATTTTCAATAATCGGTAATGCGCCTTGCGTGACACCTCGCAAGTGCAAAACAATAGACGTCTTTCTCGCTTCCTTTGTGTTTCGACGAGTCACACGTCTGTGCTTATGCCGCGCACGCGACGGCGAACTGCGCGGCTCGTCTTCGCCTATAACGTCGAACAGAGAGCGGCCCAGTCGAAACTCGGCACCGGACAACCAAAGGCGCGACGGAACTCTTCGACGTACCGAGTGAAAACGTATACCTCGTGCGCGACATTTTCGTCGTTCACGTTCAGAGTCTGGCACGGATGGTGCAGCACGAAAAGCATGAAAAATATCTGGCTCGCCGAAAAGCTGTACGGGCCGAACGCCAGAGCCCTTTGGTGCCATCCCGGTGCGGCGATGGTGCGGGCCGCGGATTAGCAGGGACAGCAACGGGTACTTCAGGTGGCTTGTCAGGATGAACCCGGTGAGCTCATTTATGCAGACCGTGTGGTCGATAAGCTGTTGCCTGGTTCGGGGGTCCCAGCGATCGCTTCCGATCAGCGCGTCCCAAAGAGCGTCGGCGAGCAGCACGCCCAGCACAGCCGCGTTGTTGACAGCTGCGCCGTTCAGTCGGGAGCGGTTGCCCCTGATGCGTGTGTCGTTGAACTTGAGGAGCGTATACACGCCGGCCGAGATCACGATGCGGTTACCAGCTCTGCTGACGAACTGCCTCGAACAGGGTCTTCCGGAAGCTGTGCACCTCTGGGAGGCCCCGTGCAGCATTAATGCGTCCGACCTGGAAGGATATAAAACATTGATGACTGATAACAGTACTGCCTATAATGCGAAATCCTAAACGCAGTTGTTTAGGTGTTTTGAACTTGCGATAGGTTGGGAGGGACATTATGTATGTACAGCTTCATACCACTATTTATGTTCCACGAATCTCTCTCTAAAGTCTTGCAGCAAAGAAGGAAGCTTTGCGGACGTCAGAGAAGTGAGTGGTAGGGATACGTTCAACGTACTGCACCAATGCCTGCCTCCCAAAGACGAGGTCTATGCGAGTGTTTCGCGAGGTCTTCAAATCAGTGGGATAAGTTGCGATGGAGAGAAATGGAATGATCTCAGGTATATGTGGTAAAAAGGTGTTCTTTGTTTTTACGTCTGTATTAAAATCACCCACAACAAACATTAGTGTGGGTTGACGGGGGGTCAATGCGAGGCACATGAAGTGCACGACGTCTTTGGTAAGACTGAAATACGTGGCGCAAGGTTGCAAATGAGAAGAACGAGAAGAGACGGAAAGAGCGCCGTATTTGGTAAGAGTGGCGGACGAGAAGCGCACAGCC